GTTTAGACCCGATACGGTTAAAGTTGCATGTTACCAAGATTACAGTTCACAATTCCATAAAACAGCTAATAAAAAAATCACCTGCAGATAAATCCACGGCTTTGAATTCAAAGGGAATTTTATTTATCTTGGCAAATAGGAAGACGGAGCGGCATGGCTGGGAATTCAAATCGAGATACAATTCCAGTGGCATTTTGGAGGGGAAGTGTCCAAGTTGAGCTATTCGCCAAACCTGAAACCTCTCACCCTCATATGCTCTGTATTTATGCTCCGCCTTCAAGGCAGTGTTGCCAGATTGGATGGATGATTTCCAGCCCAAAAGCTCACAAAAACCCGCCCAAAACTTTAACTGTCAAAATAATGTTATAGAATATGTAAATCAAGGTTGATAAGGGCCATTTTAACTCCTTAAAACAACATATTGACGACAAAATAATATAAATTATAAATAAGATAAATTTCGTAGGTAAACGGATCAAATCGGGGCGAATAGCCTACATTAAAGAGAATTAGGCTACCGAACATGAATAAAATATGCAAGCAGATACTGTCAAAACAGCAATCATGAAATTAACCGATACCCTCGAAACAACACATGCATGATTTTCAATGTCAGCAGTCAGAATAATCCAGTTTAAATGCAAAAAGTGCCCAATATAAGTGATAGGAAAAAGCAACGTAGCCTAATTAGCAGGTATTTCACACTCGTTCATGCGCACACCATGACAGTCAACTCAAAACTGTGTCATTCATTGATACTTAATTATAATCCGACAATTAAAAAAATAACAACAACAATAATGCGCTTACCTTCGTGTCGCTCTATAATTTTACACAGAACTAGAGGAAGCCTCTTGTTAAGTTCATATTGTAGAACATAATACAGAACTTTGCACAGTCAAAACTAATCAAGTCTAGCAGTTTTCAAGGATTTATCAATCTGGACGTTTAAAAGATAAAAGACATGATCGTATAAACCGACATATTTAGTTATGATTAATTCAAATGTGCTCTGATTTCAGAGTTGCAGTGATCGAGCCTTCGTGTCATCTCCAAAATAATTCACCTTTTGAGAGTTGAGTCACTCTCCCACTCTTTAACTTATATTTAGGCATTATGATTACTTGAATATATAGTCACTACATTCAAAATCAGATACGTTATAACTTATCACGCTAAAAACTTGTCACTCATGAATCATAACGTCTGTCTGCTGAGCCCTCGTGATAAGTGCAGCTGTAGACGTTTACATCAGCACCAGTTTCACCAATTTCAAAATCACACAAGGTCCCCGGATAATACTAATCCCGTGCGAATAGGACTTATATCACACAAAGAGTACCGTTTTTCTGCAGATATCAGCATGAACACATTTAATAA